GGCTTCACTGGAAAATTCTACAAAACTTTCAGAGAAGAGTTAACACCACTACTACTAAAGGTACTTCAGAGCATAGAAAAGGATGGAATACTCCCAAACTCATTCTGTGAAGCCAGCATAATCCTGATACCAAAACCAGGTAAAGACACCACAAAAAAGAAAATTACAGACCAACAGACCTCATGAACATTGATGCAAAAATCCTTAACAAAATTCTAGCCAATAGAATTCAGCAACATATCAAAAAAATAATTCATCCTGATCAAGCGGGATTTATACCAGGTATGCAGGGATGGTTCAACGTTAGAAAAACAATCAGTGTAATCCATCACATAAATAAAACAAAAGACAAGAACCACATGATCTTATCAATTGATGCAGAAAAGGCATTTGACAAAGTCCAACACCGATTCATAACAGAAACTCTCTACAAAATAGGAATAGAAGGGAAATTCTTCAGTATAATTAAGGGCATTTATACAAAGCCAACAGCCAACATCATCCTAAATGAAGACACTTTGAAAGCATTCCCTTGAGAACAGGAACCAGACAAGGATGCCCTTTATCACCACTTTTATTCAACATTGTGCTGGAGGTCCTAGCCAGAGCAATTAGGCTAGAAAAAGAAATAAAGGGCATCCAAACTGGTAGGGAAGAAGTCAAAGTATCTCTGTTTGAAGACGATATGATCTTATACACAGAAAACCCCAAAGAATCCACAAGAAAACTACTGGAACTAATAGAAGATTGCAGCAAAGTTTCAGGACACAAGATAAACATACAAAAATCAGTTGGATTCCTTTATACCAACAAAGAGAACCTGGAAGAGGAATCACCAAGTCAATACCATTTACAATAGCCCCCAAGAAGATAAAATACTTAGGAATAAATCTAACCAGAGATGTAAAAGATTTATACAATGAAAACTACAAGACACTACTGCAAGAAACAAAAAGTGACCTGCGTAAGTGGAAAAACATACCTTGCTCTTGTCTAGGTAGGCTCAACATAGTGAAAATGTCAACTCTATCCAAAGTGATCTAGAGATAAATGCAATCCCAATCAAAATTCCACTGGCATTGTTTAATGAGATGGAGAAACAAATTACCAACTTCATATGGAAAGGGACGAGGCCCTGAATAAGTAAAGCATTACTCAAGAAGAAGAACAATGTGGGAGGCCTCACACTACCTGATTTCAGAACCTACTATACTGCCACAGTAGTCAAAACAGCCTGGTACTGGTACAACAACAGATACATAGACCAATGGAACAGAATTGAGAATCCAGACATAAATTCATCCACCTTTGAGCAGCTGATATTTGACAAAGGCCCAAAGTCTGTTAATTGGTGAAAAGACCATCTCTTTAACAAATGGTGCTCGCATAAGTGGATATCTTTCTGCAAAAAACTGAAACAAGACCCATACCATGCACAAAAACTAACTCAAAATGGATCAAAGACTTAAATATAAAATCAAAAACGATAAAGATCATGGAAGAAAAAATAGGGACAAAGCTAGGATCTCTAATACATGGCATAAACACAATATGAACCATAAGTAACAATGCACAAGCACCCGAAGAGAGACTAGATAAATGGGAGCTCCTAAAAACCAAACAATTATGCTCATCAGTAGTCTTCACCAAAAGAGTAAAAAGACAATCTACAGACTGGGAAAACATTTTTGGCTACGATGAATCTGATCAGCATCTAATCTCTAAAATCTATAACGTACTGCAAAACCTCATCAACAAAAAGACAAATAACCCAATTAAGAAATGGGCAAAGGATATAAACAGACAATTTGCCAAAGAAAATATTCAGGCGGGTAATAGACACATGAAGAAATGCTCATGATCATTAGCCATTAGAGAAATGCAGACCAAAACTATAATGAGATATCATCTCACCCCAACAAGGCTAGCAATAATCTAAAAAACACAAAATAATAAATGTCGGAGAGGTTTTGGAGAGTTTGGAACACTTATACACTGTTGGTGGGAATGTAAAATGGTACAACCACTTTGGAAATCGATCTGGCACTTCCTTAAAAAGCTAGAAATAGAGGTACCATACAATCCGGCTATCCCGCTCCTTGGAATATATCCAAGAGAAATAAGAGCCATCATACGAATAGATATATGCACACTCATGTTCACTGCAGCACTGTTCACAATCGCAAAAAGATGGAAACAACCTAGGTGCCCATCAATGGATGAATGGATAAACAAATTATGGTATATCCACACAACGGAATACTACACAATTATAAAGAACAATGATGAAGTCGTGAAACATAACATGGAGGAAGCTGGAAGTCATTATGCTGAGTGAATTTAGTCAGTCACAGAAGGACAAATACTGTATAAGACCACTATTATAAGAACTCACGAAAAGGTTTACACACAGAAGAAAACATTCTTTGATGGTTACGAGGGTGGGGAGGGAGAGTGAGGGGTATTCACTAATAAGATAGTAGACAAGAATTATCTTAGGTGAAGGGAAGGACAACACACACTACAAGGGAAATCAGCACAACTGGACTAAACCAAAGTGAAGAAGTGTCCTGAATACAATCAAATACTTTGAGGGACAGAGTAGCAAGGGTAGGGGTCTGGGGACCATGCTTTCAGGGGACATCTAGGTCAACTGGCATAACAAAGCTTATTAAGAAAATGTTCTGCATCCTACTTTGTGAGTGGTATCTAGGGTCTTAAATGCTTGCAAGCAGCCATCTAAGATGCATCAATTTGTCCCAACCACCTGGGGTAAAGGATAATGAAGAACACCAAGTACACAAGGAAAGTATTAGCCCAAGAGACAGAAAAGGCCACATAAACCAGAGACTTCATCAGCCTGACACCAGAATAACTAGATGGTGCCCAGCTACCACCAATGACCACCCTGATAGGGAACGCAACAGAGTCCCTGATGGGGCAGGAGAATGGTTGGGTGCACAACTCAAATTCTACTAAAAAGACCAGACTTAATGGTCTGACTGAGACTGGAGGAACCCTGGAAAGCATGGCCCCTGGATTCTCTATCAGCCGAGAACTAAAACAATTTCTGAGGCCAACTCTTCAGACAGGGATTGGACTGGACTATGAGACATAAAATGATACTTGCGAAGAGTGTGTTTCTTAGCTCAAGTAGATACTCGAGACTAAATGGGCAGCTTTTGTCCAGAGGTGAGATGAGAAGGCAGAGAGGGTTGAATGGACACGGGGAATCAGGGGTGGAAAGAAGGAGTGTGCTATCACAGTATGGGGAGAGCAATTAGAGTTCCATAACAGTGTATGCATAAATTTTTGTATGGGAAAAGAAAATACATTTAAAAAAACACAAATATCGACCCAAAAAAAAAAAACATTAATAATAATAGGACACTTACCTTTGTCAATATGTTCCACCAACTACATACATGGTTACCTTACCACCGGGAGACCTGGCCTTATTAGAACAGGATTCACCACTAAGTTTCTGTAGCTGGCAAATTACTGTAGCTTTGAAAATAGGGTACTGTTTATGGACAGTCTTGTTACATGGATTGTCTTGGAAAGACAAATCTGTTCCTCCAATGGATGTTCTCCAACATCTACTGTGTGAAGACAGTTTGCCTCGTACTGGGGACACACAGTTGAATGACACATAATGCCTTCCCAGAGAAGCCCAGCCTTCTGGGAAGGATCATCTATCCCTCATGTAAGTAAGAAATAGCAGTACTTACTTGGTGTTACTTTCATAGAAAACAAGATCATAAAGAAGTAAAGAAAACTTTAAAAAAATGTACCTTTTTATTGGATGTTTAAATTAGTAGTTAAATAAATATGAGGCTGAAAAGACCATGTAAATGAACATAAATTATGTATATATACCAACATAATAGAGGAAAGGAATCAAACCTCATTCTTGGATCATCTGGTGGCACCATTTCCAGGTCATGGGTAGGTCCACTTAAACCAATAACATGTAAGGAAATGCTGGGGTTTTCACATCCAGCCTGGGGAGTAAAGGGGAACAGAAACATAAGTAAGCAAACCTCATCAGTGCTTTAGCTCTGCAAAGTCTTTCCCCAGCAAACTCAGAGCAGGAACTCCAGCAGCCTTGAAGCTCAATACCAAGAGGCAAAATGTATGTTGAGAAAATATAATTACTGCTTAGAGTTTCAAAAAGGACCAAGAGATAACTGGGCCAATCTCTTTTCTTCCCCAGGCTTCCCTCTTCCTTCCCATCCATTCAACTCCCCCATACACCAAGGTTCACAAGCACTACTCCACTTGCTTGATCACATGGGAAGGGGAAAAGAAAACTAGACTAGGAGTAGAAAGCAAAAACTGGACGCAATGCCAGGAAGAAGAGAGCTAGAGGGTGAACCGTTTGTGGAGAACATTAAAAATGGAGGTCATGGCTCAGTGGTGGGGAAAAATTAAATTCTTCTAAAAGAACTGGGGCTTCTTTCCTGCTCATCTCTCTGCTTCTACCCCAGCCTCCTTTTCCCTGGGGAACAAGTACCAGCCTGGAAGTGGGTAGGGAAAGAGACTGCATTTTCTCAGGAGGAGGACTAAGTCTAGCCTGACACCCTCACCTCCCATGCACACAAAGAATGGCACGAGAATAGCGTGTCTAATGGCAGGAGGAGATGCTCAGGTTTTAAAAGGAGGTCAGCTCCACAGCAGGGCAGATGGCAGTAGGGTTCACCAGCTCATGGCTCTGATCTGGGAGTGGGCAGGTCTAGGGCAAAGATGGTCAGAATTCTGTTGGCCAGAATGTGTTGACTTTCTTTTGAAACATGAACCTCTAAATGCTGGGCAATCTGGAGTGTTGTGATTCCTACTTTAGAGCACCTGTCCCCGAGTTCATTGTACTATCAAGGGCGTCCCACTTTTCTGGATGTCAGGTTCATCACTCCTGCATTGCGAGGCTTCCATAAAAGGGACCACCTCTGATATCATTCCGTCCCTGAGGGGTCAGATGAAGATGAGACATGCACTAGTGGTGTGTGTGTGTGTGTGTGTGTGTGTGTGTGTGTGTGTTTGGAGGCAGGCAGAATAATTCCACATCATTCCAGTACACTGTACTCTACTTCCAGCTAAAACCCTGGACTCTCCACATACTACAGCGTAAGTCCAATCAAGATTAGTGGGAGGAAGAATGAAAGAACTCTGTCAAAAGGCAAATCTGTGTTATGTGCTGACATCTAGATGCTCTCAGAATGTGAAACTGGCAGAGACAAGGCTGTGGTCTCCGGGAAATGATGCTCCTCCAGCCCCCTTGGGTGTGGGCAAGGAGTCTGTACTAACATGTGCTTCCTGTCTCTGACTTACACCTCTAGTGACCTCACTTATCTCATCACAAACTATAGACAGGCATATCAAGGGGGGATTTATGGTGTACAGGCATGTGATATTAGGTTTCAGAGACATCTGATGGGCCAGTGCTCACTGACAGAGGCTGGAGGATGTATTCAGATGCAGCCAGAATGGGAGCCCAGGTCTCTGTTACAAGGCAGGGGCCCAGTGACCATGGATAGTCTAGAGAAGTGAGGGGTGGCCAGGGCTGCTGTCCATGTGTGTCCATAGGAGACGCGTCTACACTCAAGGGACAGCAACCTCTCTTGTCTGCCGAGTGGGCTGCAGAGGGTTTAGCATCAGGCCCTCCCCGTACTCTGAGATTCTGTCATTTGGTAACAAAGTAAGGTTTGGATGTTTCTCCTCCTCCACCCACTGCCCTCCATCTTCCTTCCCTCCGCTCCTCCCAGCCCACCCTGCACCCTTGCTGTTCTACTGGCTCTTCGTGCCAATATCTTGGTCTGGGAAAAAATTACAGAACAAATGGGTCAGAGCATGACCAAAGACAAAACAGCCAAGCCCAGACCCAGGGGACCAGGGGCAGACAGCGGTCCCTCTGGCCTCACAGAAGCCAAATTCTAAAACTGGATTGGGGCAGGGTGAGTTTCTGTCACCATGGAATCACAAGTTCAGAAAATGTATTTATTTGGGTTCCAATTATGCTTAGACAAATGATTAACAGTAGTTCAATTATTTTTTTTAAACATAAACCTACTAACAAATTAAACTTAACAAAGATGAGAATTTAATGCAATGTAATGAGATATAATTAATCTTTCCTCTGTTTTCTGTGTTGCTCATAAACATGCCTGATTACGTCTGAGTCAGCTGGGAATGGGGGGAGCCCAATGAATAACGAAAAGAAGTTCTGCTGGATAAAGGAAGGGCAACTTCACACTCCTACCTTGGGATAGTGGTAGGGCTTCACAGTTGGGTAGACGGAGCCAGTGTAGGTCGCCAGCTCCATGAGGGGGACACGGGAGTCGTTGATGGTGGCGTACGCGAGCCTCGTGCCGTCGGGAGACCACCAGTGCGCGATGTGTGTCTTTAAGATCTCCTCTAAGGGAAAACAAACAAAGTGGAGAAATGTGAACAGGCAGAAAATGGAGTGGACACTGGTATTGCACAGGCATGGGCGTGAGCTGACCAGGAAACAAATGTTTCCCCACAGGGACATTTATCTTCTTCAACCTTCCAGAAGTCCTCACTGTGCCCTGTATCATGCCTTCAACTCATAGGGGCTCAAGAGATGTCTGAGGATGGTGAACAAATCCCAGGGCAGTAAAGGCCAATGATTCAAAACCCAACTGAACAAGTAGTAACTGGCTGGAAATAATTTTTTGCACAAATTTTAGCAGTATGAGCCCAACAAGTACTTTTTGAACTAAACTATCATTGTATTGTCGTGGATTACTACTTTCACATGATTTGAAAAGTGGAGCTGGAGGAGATTGACTTACACTGGAGCCTGGCACATAAAGGCAGAATCAAGTGAGGAAAAAAAAACTTGTGTCAGAGGTTTCCTCCCAGCATGCAGGAGGTGTTCAGGGACTCATGCATACACACAGCACCCTCACCCACAGCCGCACGCAAGGACAGCGTGCGCAAAGGCCCAGCACGAGCCTCACTGGAAGAGTGCAATTTCACTCTGTGTGGCAGAAAAACAAGAGACCCACCTGAAAAAAGGACTGAGGTGGAAACAGGATTCTCTTAGGCCTCAATCTGAAAAACCCACCATTCTGCATTTCTAGTCTACAAGTGTCTTGGCTAATTAGAGTTGCAACTACAAATGAGTTTTGTAGGATATTATATCTATTCCAGAAAGAGCAATTGTGCTCTGTTCAAGAGAAGGCACTTTCCAACTGTAACAAGTAGTCAGAGTACTGGGAATTAGAAGATCCATTCAGTGCGAAATAGCTCCGAGGTCAAGGAATTCTTTCTTGTACATGGCCTACATGTAGTGTAAGCTAATTCCCACTAGACTTGCTTATAAAATAATGATCAATATCATTACATAATGCTGGTCCTGTTCAGCTAGCAATTGTTATGTTCTACCATAAACCTGCTCCATGTATCTACAGAGATAGAAAAGCACCTAAGGAACCTGAAATCATGTTGAGAAATCAATATGAGTACAGACAATACAACAGAACAATAAACCAGTAGTAACCAGTTGCTATCAAGTTGATTCAGACGCATGGCGACCCCATGTGTGTCGGAGTAGAACTGTGCTATTCTGCTTTCAAGCCTTTTGGGTATATACCTAGGAGTGGAATTGCTGGGGCTCCATAGGGTTTTCAATGGCTAATTTTTCAGAAGTAGATCAACAGGTCTTTCTTCTGAGGTGCCTCTGGGTGGACTTGAACCTCCAACCTTTTGGTTAGCAGCCAAGCGTGTTACCCATTTACAGTACCTAGGGACTCCAGGAGAACAACCTATGTTGGAATAAGGCCAAGGGACCACTGCCAACAGGAGGAAAGGGCCACAGGAAGGGAAAGAATCAGGACAGGAAGCAATGGGAGCTGGAACTCCTCTGGATGGCAACGTGCTCCCGGGGTGTACATTAGGTTAGATGGCTGGGGGATTAAAGATTCGTCACAAAGGAGGGCTCTGAGGGTCATGTCCGCGGTGGTGCTTGAGCTATAGATGCATTTCACAGACAAGACTGAAGGACTGGAGTCGGGTGACAGAGATGAAGCCTGCACAAGCTGTCAATGGCTCCTTATGGTGGTGGGGGTGTGTGCCAGACCCAAGTGTGGGGGCCTGACCCCCACCCCGCCCCCCACCAGGCATCACTAGCTTTACTGACCTCCTTTTATTAGTGGGAGGAACCCATGGATGTGCTGTAATAGTAGTAGCAATAGCAGGAGTTACAAAATATATCAAGTGTTGTTCTCCTTTTAAAGAATTCTTACCTGTCCTTCAGTGTTCTTTCCTCAAGCATTACCAGTAGTCTGTCTAGACTTGCTTGTTGTATTTAGTTGCCATTAAGTGGATTCTGACTCATGGTGACTACATGTGCACAGAGTAGAACTGCTCTGTAGGGTTTTCAGGGCCATGACCTTTTGGAAGCAGATCACCGGGCCTGTCTCTGAGGCGCCTCTGGGTGGGTTTGAACTGCCATCCTTTCAGCTAGTAGTAGAATGCTTAACCTTTTGCACTACCCGGGGACTCCTCCTGGACGCCCTTAGAATATAGTGAGTGGTTTGTGGCTCTGATTCCATCACTGGACAACACAGGCTCACCGCCACAAAGTCAGAGATGTATCTGACTTTACATTACCCAGAAGCATCCCAGTCCGTCACCTGGAAGCTTGCTCAGTGAAAAATGAATGGCCGAGCCCCCTAGAGTCCTGGTTCTTGCCCCAGTTCAGCTGCCATCTCTTTCAGAAGTTCTGAATGAGTCTTTCTCCTCCCTGAGCCCCAGGCATTCCCAACTGTCAAATGAGGGACGGGGTTGCTGTTCTCTCATATCCCCTGCCCCCCTAACGTCCTGAGATATTGTGCGATCCTCTGAAACTACTTAGACACTTTCCAGAGCTGACGAAAACTCACAAGGTCTGCTGAGGTAAGCAAGGAGAAGAAAAAAAGGAGCGAAGGCCAAAATTTCAAGGGTTGGTAATTTTCCAGTGTCTTCTGCAGCCAGGAGAGTGACTTTTAGGTGCAAGTTTTGGAATGAGGTGATTCAGAAATAACTTTACACAGAACAGCCTGATTGGTCTGGTATGTGAGCATGGAGTGGTGAGTAATCGAGACTCTGGCAGGTGGTCTGCTGGAAAAAATAGGCACCACTTGCAATGCAATTTGCGGGTGATTCTGCTAAATCACCCCACTGTAGTCTGGGAGAGAAGGGAAGGGAAGGCAAGTGAGGTGAGAGCACCGTGAGTGAGCCCAATTCAAGGAGCAGAGCAGGGGAAGCAACGCAAACCCAGTGTCGGCAGTGATGAGGCCTGCAGTGGTTTCACAGGACATTAATCCAGAGCCAACTCAGGAAGATCCAAAGGAGAAAAATGGTCGGCTGCAACAAAGACTTTATAAATGAAGACGCGTTTGACCAAAAAGAAAGAAAGAAAAAAAATCTTGCAGAGACAATGTGTCTATTTGTTCTCTTTGAACTCAGGGAAATCTCCTGAAACCAGAGGGCTGACAAATCAGTGCCCTGGCGCAGAGTCACACCACCTTCATTCTCGGGGCAGGCTCCCCACTCCCGTCGGTATGCTCAACGAAAGGCCCCCAGGCACGTGTCCTTCCCTCACATGTCTCCTTCCTAGACTCACTCGCTCTAAAAGAAATGCTACTTGTAAAGGATTGAATTGTGTTCCCCCAAAAGATATGTTGAAGTCCTAACCCCTGTACCTGTGAATATGACCTTGTTTGGGGATATAGAGTTTTTCTTTGCTGATATTACCAGTTACATTACTGAGGTCATATTGGAGTAGGGTGGGTCCTGATCCTAATCCCTCCTGAGTGGTGTTTTATAAAAGAAGAGGACAGATATGTAGAGAAACACACAGAGCCACGTGAGGGAACTCCTGGGGCTGCCGGAGCTGACAGAGACAAGGAAGGATTTCCTCTGGAATGAACAGAGAGAGCGTGGCCCTGCTGATGCCCCAGATTTGGACTTCTGGCCTCCAGAACTGTGAGACAATAAGCTCCTATTCTCCAAGTGCCCATTCTGTGGTATTCTGTTATGGCAGCACTAGGAGACTAAGCCCCTACCGCTTTGGTCTGACCCACTGAGGGCTGGGTGGGTCACACATGTCACGCACAGAGAGACGTGAGAGTGAGAAAATATGGAAATACGGGGCGACGGCTGAGGCTAGGCCTGAAGCTGGCCTGAGAATAATGTATTTCTGTCCTTCTAGTCAGCAAATGCCAGAGTATTTCCACTGAGCTCAGTTCATTGTTTGGAGAATTTGGATGCAGATAAAAGATCACTCCAAATTATAAAATGTAATGGTTGCAAGGGAACTGAGAGGTCATGCACTTCAGGGAGGACAAATATCTGGCATGTGTGTTGGTAAACCTTAAGCAAACCCAAATCTGTTGTCATCGAATTGATTGTGACCCACAGCAACCCTACAGGACAGAGCAGAACTGCCCCATAGTTTCCAAGGCTGTAATCTTTACAGACGCAGACTGCCACGTCCTTCTCCTGCAGAGCTGCTGGTGGGTTTGAACTGTAAATCTTTTGGTTAGTAGCTGAGTGCTTAACCACTGAGCAGCCAGGGCTTCTTTGGCAAACCTTAGTTCCTGTCAATTCCATCCCTCAGCAAGATGATGGGCAATGAAAAGAATTCTGCCATGCCAAAAGTGTAGGTCATATAAAACTAGGGTAGCTTTAGTTTATTTTCCCTAAATGTCCTTTGACATGCTGTTCTTCAGTGATTTATCTTCTATATGTTAGCAGCTCATTAAAGAGACAATTACGTATAAAAAACTAAGGGGGAAAAAGGACTAGGCAGAGGAAATCTTGACATTTTAGCATTAATTACAAATGTCCCTATTCTGCAAACATTTTCTTCAGGATCCCCAGCTTAATGAGGAAGTTTGCTTAAATGCCATATTCAAAATGTCATTTGGAAATTGAGTTTTGCAGAGAAAAAAAACCTACTTCATTGACTAAATTAATTGCATGAAACTTTGCCTTGGAACAAAATGAGTAACTTGCCTTTCTAAGCAAGTACAATTAACTTGTGAAAACTGGAGGCCATATCTCTCCTTCACCTTCTCTGCCCTGTTGGGGGATCACTTCAGAATCCAAAAAGAAAGATACACTGGGACATACACTGGGCAAGGACTGCCTCTCTCAGAAAAGGTGGGAAAACTCGTCCAGGCTGCGTAAGCTCACAGTAGGATCTAGGCTGGTTTTCCCCGTTTCTCATCACCATATCTTAAAAGTCATTATCTCACCATATTTCAAAGACATATTTGAAATTCTAACTTATTTACACCAAACAGTGTTAAAGACATATCAAAAACCCCTTTGGGCTCAAGGTGATAAAGGCCATTCCAACCAAGATGAGAAGTTTTCACATTTCCTAGGTTTTTTTGCAGATG